TCCTCCTCCCCCTCCTCCCCCTCCCCCTCCTCCTCCTCCTTCGGCAGGGACCGGGCCTGGTCTAAGGCGGGCCTGTCCCCCTCCAGGGAGACTTTCGACGGAAAATAACAGAATTCCCCAAGCATAATCAAAACATAGTCCAAGCATAGTCTGGGGACTGTTTTCAAAGTAGTTGTTGACCTTTTGGGGGTATGTTTGGTGGTATTTTTTATTTTTCGTCGAAAATCCCCCTGTAGGGGGAGACGTCCGACATAAGGCCAGGCCCAGTGGTCGATTTTCTCACCCCTTGACACCCAGACCTCCGGTGTCTTGAAAAATCAACGTGGACATTCTTTGCAATCTCGGGCCTCTGGGGTGTGATCTTCGGCCCCCGGGACCCCAGGAGGGTGTCGAGAGTTCCGTGCCCTGCGTAGGGACACAGCACAGCACGTCGGAGGGCCATAGGTGTTTCGCAGCCAACTGACAGACGAGTTTGCCCCGCAATCGCGAACTGCTACAGCATGGGGTTCGCAACCTCACCGACTGTATCCTCGTAAGGTCCCAGGGCCGCCCCTATGCAGTCGCCCGAGAAGGAGCGCACGAGAAGAATTTTAAATTGTTGGCAACGCTCAGGCATCCCATGGGGATCCCAGCAGAACCATGCTTTCGTACTCGTCTATTTGGGCCGGACGAAAGGGGGGGATAGGGAAAGGGGGGGGTACGAAATTTTCTGCATGTAGCTGGTTTCGGCCCCACCGAGGGGCCCATTCCTCGATACATGGCCGCCTCCTGTGCCGGGAGGCGCAGGGAAAATCAGCTACGTGAGCTGATTCTCAAACCCCCCCTTTGTTTCCCCCCCTTTCGCCCAGCCCAATCTATGGATGCCTTCACGCTCGGGACCGATGTGTTGAGAAGGTTCTGGCACACTCTGCGCACGGGCTCCGAGAGGCGCCGAGGGGAAGAAGATTGGGATCGAGAGCTCCCTGGCGTGATCCGTCACGGCGCCGCTGCTTTTTCACGACGTCGGACCTCCGTGGTTCGGCGGGCGAGGGTATTGTTCTGGCACACTCTGGCCTCCAGGCCTCACAAATGGGGTCGAAGCGGATGGGGTCGGAGGATGCGACGCGATCCTCCGACCCCATCTGTTCGGACCCCTTTGGGAGGCCTCTGCACGAAGAAAGCGAGTCCTGAGGTTCTTCACCGCTGTTGGGGCTTCTTGGGGCCTTCACGGGCCCCAGGTCCCTCGAGGAACTGCCTGGGAGGAAGAGCGGACCTTTGGGGAAGGCCCTGGGGTCCAGGACCTTCTTCCGTCGGGACCCGCGTCCTTCATGCCGGGGTCTCCGGTCGAGGGGCAAGACGAGATTGCACGCACAGGTATGTTCGGAGCTCCGCGCGGCTCTCCGCGAACCCAGGCATGCTCGCGTCAGGAAAGAGACGGACGGTTTGGTGTTGCTTCCGGCCCCTGGTGGCTCTCTCTGGACCCCGGGGCCATCAAACAAGTTATAGTTCCCCGACGAAAGCGAGCGAACCTCGGGAACGAGTGGAGACAGTTGGGGGTTCACATCTTGAAACAATCAAGACATCACACGGTTCGGGTCGTCGGCGAGCGAACGAACAAACGTCGTCGGCGGCGAGGTTGGTGGAGGCGGCGGCGGTGGCAGCGACATCGTCGTCGGCAGCGGCGGAGGCAAATATGTTCGGAGCTCCGCGCGGACGTCTTCAATCGGTGCTGGGCCTACCCGGCGGCGCCTCTGGCGCCGCCCCCCGGCGCGCTCTGCGCGCCAGGGATAGGGGTCCAGCGACGATCCAAGAGATCCGTGCGGACCTCCGAAAATGTATGTTTATGCAGTTCTTGCTCCTCGATTTGGGCCCACGGCCCATCAAGAGTTGTGTGCGCGTCTCGGGGTCAGAAACGGGGCCTTGTAGGAGCGCTCCCTGAGTGAGTGGGGATGGCGATTGCGATTATGTCGGCATGTCACGTTCGTCGTAGTGTGAGGGTTTTTCGGTCCAAGCTGTTGTTTTCGAAAGTGGTAATTTCTATTTGATGTTTGTTCTGGATACCCCACCCGTGGCATGCACTTGAAGGCGTCGGTGTCTTCACGTCTTGCGACGCGCGTCGGTCTTCGGGGCGTCCTGCGCGACGGGCCTGGCGTGGTTTCCAGCATCTTGGTGTGCTCGTGGGTATCGGTACTCCGTTCTGGCTTCAGCGCCTTACTGCGCGCGCCCTGCATGGTCCGCACCCTGGGCGCCGGGCAGCAGGCCGGGCATCGTGCAACCGCGAGGACAAGGGCACGGGCGCGCGCGCGCGCGCGGGGCAGCTCCCCCCCCCGCGCGCAAGGCCAGATGCGCACGCCGCGCGCCCCAACGCCCGCCGCCGCCGCCCGCCACCACAGCGCGCGGCCCCGAGGCCGCGATCCCCGCTCGGGCTGCAACGGCCGAGAGCCGGCCGCCACCCACCCGGCGCCCCCGCGCCCGAGCGCGCGGGCGCTGGCCGCGCGGTTCAAATTTGGGCGGCCCGCGG